AGAAATCTTTACAGGACTGTCTGGGATTCAGTTTAAAAATCCTTCTTATACATTTCTTTTGTAGGACCACTAATCTATCCATATTTTTTTGTGTTGTACCACCCCAAATTTTAATGCTGAATTGAAGTTGAGAGAAGGTTGTTCCATAACATACTGAAGTAAGTGTATTAATTTCCAGGTATCTGGAAAAGTACCTTAAGAGGATTATATTAGAATTTATTTTATTACAAAGTTTATCAACTTGTTTGCTATATGTTAGGTTTTTATCTATGTATATTCCTAAGAATTTATGACAATCAGTTTAGTTCACTGATTCATTGTCTACATCCACTTTTATGGGTGTTGGTGACCGTGATGAAACTTGAAGTCAATTAATATAGCTTTATCAACGTTTAATTTCAATTCATTTATGGACAAATAGCTTTTAATTGATTTTAATGATTCAGTCAGACTAGCTTATAGATGAAAGATTTTGCCCACTACTTATTAATGTTGTATCATCTGCATAAGAATTACAGAGCAAGATGAGCTTGGAATATTATTAACATATAATAGAAATAGCAAAGGTCAAAGCACCAATCCCTGCAGAACACCAGATATAGTTATATCAAAATTTGATTTAACTTTGGATAAGAAATTTTCAGATTTACAGAAGATCGTTGTACATTGCTTACGTCCTGTGAGGTATGATCTAATGACTCTACCCCTTATTCCATAATAATCAAGTTTTGCCAACAGTTTCTCATGAGATACACTCTCAAATGTTTGAAAGATCAATGAATAAACCAGCTGTTTTTCTATTTGATTTCACATTTCCAATGATTTCATTTATGAACTCTACAACAGCAGTGGTTGAAGACGCCCTTCCTGAAGCCATGATGTGATACATTAAGGATATTATTAGATTCAAGAAAACAGTTATGTCTTGCTAATATAACTTTATAGGTAGGTAATTCCCGACATTTTGTGTATTATTATTCTTAGCAAGTGGTTTTACAATACTAATTTTTAGGGTTTCTGGGAAAGTGAATGCAGCTAGAGATCAATTTATTAAGTAAACTAATATATTAAGAAGAGTAGGCTTACATTTTTGAAGAATTATTGAAGATATTTTATCGTTCCCAGTTGAGCAACTATTTTTGAAGAAATTTATCAGTCGATAAACTTAAGTAGCCTTTGTGTGATAAACATGGATTTTGAAGTATCAGGAGATAAGGAATTAATAGTATTATTGGTTACAATGTCCTGCTTTGATTTTAAGAAATGACAGTTAAAGGTCCTACAAATATTAGGATTATTAAGAAACATGCCTTCGTGTAGTATGTGTATGTTTTTGTGAGACTGAGTTTTTCCATTGTTTATTGTATTCTATAATGTTTTAGATTTATTTCTTGAGTTGTTAACTTTATTTAATGTATATTATATTGTTTGCCCTATATTGCTTTTTATACTGTTTATACTCATTTTATCAATTTAAATTTCACAAAAAATACGATACCTTTGTTTTGAAAATAATTTGTGAATGTTATTAGCGTAAATCCATTTTACACATTTAAAATGTTACGTGTATTACACAATGCTATGCAACACTACGCCACGTAGGGTAACACCTGCACAAAACTATCGATCACATGATCACACACGACTCGAACCAGTGCTGCCAACAAAAGTGAGTTAATGTAAGGCCAGCCCGCAATATTCGCCGATAGAGAGAGTGAAATTTGTGCAATCCAATATTTTACATTGGAATATATTTTTCGGCTTCAAAGAATACATAAATAATTGTATTAAACATTTGTCGTCACGCCAGGATGTGATGACAGTGTGATCACGTGATCAATATGGGAGACTGAAATAGAGTGAGAGGGGAATACCCACACCTGAATAAAAAGGCAAGGCTGGATGTAGCAGTCTAGAACGTTAGGATTTCTGGAACCATCTGGAACTGAATCTGCAGAAATCCGTAAGGTCTGTGGTGATCTGTGGCCTGGGTAATAAAATTGGCGACTACTATACGACAGTGCCAGGTCAGTGCTGTATTGTAGCAGTGGGGTGATACAACATTTATGTTCCTAGTGCAAATAATGTAATATTATTGTGTGAACTTCGCACAAGGGTTTTTGAGAACTTTGAGGACTCCGCTTATTATTGGGTGCCAAAGTGGAATAAAACACCTACTAGATAAGATTTTTATTTGGATTGAAATAAATAGAGGGCATTTAAATTCAAGGGCTTTTTTTCATTCGATGTGCTATTTTTAATTGGAATGTGAAATTGTATTTGCAGGCGCTTTCACTCATAACTGGTATTCTAAAATTGGTAAATGTAAATTGAGTTCGGAGAGCATTGGTAGTGTGCAGAATGGTCTGTGTGGAATAGAAGGAATACAACTTTTCAGTAACTATAACTCTGATTTTAGAGCTGCTTCTGACGTAAATCAGCTGTTATGTCATTCAATCGAAAGATTAGTCCAGAGAGAATATATCTTAGTCCGTTGTGAAGTCACTAGTGAAGAGTAAGCTCCCGATTGGATGACACTAATAACAGCAGTGTCACAGGTAGCTGAAAATAAATCGCAAAATGTTAACTTAAGCTTGTCACCAAACTTTCATGCAAAAATATTTTCGGATAATCATTAACACTAATAAAATCGTATCGCAGCATGAGCTGAGTGTAGCCTGCGATATTTTACAAAATTTGCCATGACACATTCGTCCAAACCATTTTTAATCTCCCCCTCCCAAAATTTATCTCTGGATACCTGCCTTTGATTATTCAAAATAAGGAAATTGACGTCGACGTAGACGTCTTCAGTATCATAAAGAAAAATAAATGTATTTAATAAATATAAACAATTATAGATATAAATAATAGAAAGATGAACAGCGATCCACGGATGAATCTACTGTATCTGTCAACCATATTTCAGAATACATTACTATTTCTAGAACCTTGTTTTCTATTATTTTGTTCATTCGTTTTGTTAAATGCTCATAACAGTTTGCGATTAAATGCTTTCGAGAAACACTGTGGAGCGTATTAAATTCCTAACTTCCTTAATCGTTAAATTTTGATAGTATTTCAAGTGATCGTATTTCTGCAGCTGTCAGAAAACTTTTTTGGCAAAAGGAGCAAATACAGCGATTTATGCCCTGTAATGATGCAATATACACGTTATAAAAATCGACAAATTGAATTTCCGTGTCCAATATCATTGACAGTGTTTGGCCGTAGTTTTATGCGAGGCTTATTTAAAATGAATTTATTGGAATTCATGCAAAGGGGCATTTACTGAAGATCAAATATAGAACTACTGATGTTGACACGAACTAATACCCAAGAATTGTCAGTGCGAACAATGCGTGCTTTTAAATGCACGCCGTACAATATGCGTAGATTACAGAATGTTAACGCACTGGAGTTCTTGAATATTGTAAGGATTACTGTACGGACTGTTTATTAATATGTATATAAACTAGGACAGGCAGTAGAGAGACTCGTGCCGGGTGCATCGATGCAACATCGGAGAGTGCCGATTACGACCGATGTTAGCTGTCGTAGTCGTTGCATGTGGTCTGAAACACGTTGCTCTGAAAATGAAGTGAATTGGGTATTGCTCAATGTTTTGTAGATGAAAATACATTATTAGGTGTGTTAAAAAACTAGAAACACGAATCGTATTAAAAGTTCTGGTATGTGAATCGTGACAAGAAGAGGATAGACGTCATGCGTTATAAATTTAATGTTTTTTACTGCAACAGCCTACATTTAGAAATTATACAGTAACGCACTGAATCATTTATTATTTTAGAAGAATTTTTACCACGGATAAAGTGACAATGGAGCTACCATTAATCTGGGATGAGGTTAATTTTTACCCATTTTAAGATTGTTGCCTGATGGATTGAGTAAAGACAGCAGTTGTAGAGCTCGTTTTTGCTGTAATGATCAACTAATAATCAATCTTTTCTGTAATATTTAGATAGTAGAATGCGTGCATTTGCTTTATAGTTATACTATTTCTGTTATTTGATGTAGTAAGTAAATTTTGTGATATATCTTTATTAGTTTCCTAATAATATAGAATGATTTGTCTTTTAGATTTGATTATACGATTTATGATAGTTACAAATTTAATAATATGTTATATATGTCTTATTTATTGTTGTGCATGCTTGGTATGACTTACACACTGTTCTGAAGACTTCTAGATATAGTACATTTTTGTGTGCATAGCTTTTCTAATTCTTGTATGATTCATCAGTTGTTAGTTGGTAGTTTGTGTGTGTCATTTTGCATGTGTGTTTAGTAGAATAATTGAAAAAAATTGTTTGATTATTTGGAATATTATTATGATGATGCTGACAGTTCGTATTTGATACAATTTATAAGAAATTGCTACTGTCCAATTAAGAAAATTCATTGTTTCATCAATGTTTGGTTGTTGTGTTTTTTGTTTTTTTTTCAGAGCATGGAGAGCTCAGAGGAGGATCTCACTCCACGACCTTACCAATCCCAGGTCTTGGATAGGGCCCTGGTTCAAAACACAATAGTATTTCTTCCAACTGGATCAGGGAAAACTTTCATTGCAGTAATGTTAATAAAACGATTATCTGCTGATATACAAGAGTGAGTTGAAATTTCAGAATGTTATTGTAAATTATTTAAACTCATATTAAAAATATTTTACTATTGATTATGGCAAACATTCTAGCCTGTTGTTATCAATTTCTAGGAATTACACAAGCACAAGTTAGCTTTTTAAATGCTCCATTGATTGTGATATTGTAATATCAGTTCTGTAGTTATTTAACCTTTAAATGGTATTACAAATTTTATTACATTATAGGTAATACAATACTATAAATTTGGCCATTGCACATGATGAGTCATAACAAATAGTAATCACAATTTCTCCTCACATTCATTGCACAACTTCTTGGTACACTCAAAGCAATTTGGTTCTGGACTAACGGCTGACTTTGGTGAAATACTTCTAGGCTTGTTCTTTTTTGACATTTTTCAACTGAACTAAATAAAAAATTAAAATAAACATGGATACTATACGTATATCACTTTCTGTAAATCCAGGAAAAATCAGGGAATTTGTGGAAGAATCACTAAAAGTCAGGGAAAATTTTGAAATGTTATACTAGATTTTATTGGTAACAAAAATATAACAGCATTATTTTTTAACCTAATTGTTTCTTGTTTCTCGAATCAGCCATTATGAGACCCTGTGATACATACATCCCACTGAGACTCATTCTTGAATATTGGGATAGGTGCTCGTTACATTCTATTGAAGGATCAGCATTTTAGCACTGATTCCATTTTCATACCCCAGGTAGTTAGTGAAATTGTGCTGAAGACGATTGATTAAATAGACACACATAAACATGCAGAGAGACACCCAACAAAACCATGCCTGAAGTGGGACTTGAACCTGCAATCTTCTTGTCCAAGACCACTTCAGCACTACTGCCTTGCAATCTTGGCCATTGGAGCATCCAATTTTATTTTATTTTATTTTAATTTTTTATGTATTTTACTTTTATAGTAAAAGCAGGCAATTGCCAAATTATTTTCAGGATTTCTGCAGTTACATAAAAAAGAAGTGAAATACCCTACAAATCTTATTGATGAAATTTTCTTTAAATTGTCTTAAAACCGGGAAAAGTCAGAATGGTATTCCGTATAAATCCAAGCTCCTTATAGAAAAGTCCAATCTCATAACAATTTTTTTGAACAATTCTGATAGTATCATATATTAATTCAATGAATTATTTATTCACCTAGTTTCACCCAGCTATGGACTATGATAGAAACATTTCTCTTTCTTCAATACTTCTCTGGCACACTAGCTGTATTTTCCCCAAAACTGTAATGGAGGTCTTAGTTTTTACTTTCCTGTATACGAATGTATATAAGGAGTATTATACATAGTATAGTGAAATTTATGTAATGCTGCAGAAAATGGATTACGAGATTTCAATGGAAGTTCATGTTTTGGTGTCCCCTGATAATGCAAAAGATTTTTTTTTTCCCTTCAAAACAACTGTCCATCCATCCGTCCTTCTGTCAGTGAACACTACTAGCCTCTGAACCAAACTTAGGATTTTTTCTGAATTGAAGAATCCTTTGTCCATCTGGCTCAAGTCGAAACTTTTAGATTTTGAAAAAAAATATTTAAAATGTAGGGGTACTTTTCAAGAATCTCCCACTCCCTACCCCCAGCCTGGACATTTTCTAAATCTTCTTGAAAAGGCTCCAAATTTTTTCTTGGAATTTCTTGTAAGAATAGAGTAAAATACTCTAATAAAGGTGGCATAGGTCCAATTTTCAGATTTATATCTGAATTTTAGAGATCAAACTTAATGAATGATAGTGCTAATTGCACTCTTTAATATGTCCTAAAGTTTGTTGTTGTTGTGTTTTATTATTATTATTATTTTATTTTATTTTTTCTTTTATTATTTTTGTTGTTGTGAGTTTAAGTACTTCAAATGGCTTTAAATGAAGTTTTTCGAAAGCTCAAAAATTTTCTGTGGGAAAGAGCTTCAAATTATGAATTTACAGTAGTGCTTAAGTGCCATTTTCTTAAAAGTGGCTGCAAATGTTTCAAAGAAAATTGCAATTTAGGACAAGGTTTATTGTTGTTCAATATTCAAAAAATAATGTTTTTGTTCTATTATTAGGAAACCGAAAAATTAAAAATATTTCAAAAATTTGTTCATTGGGCAGTGATAGATGGCAGCTGGCAAGAATATGTGGCAAGCTCGTATAGCTAGCTAAGACCAAAAGAAAATAGAAAACTAATACGGGGAAGTTTGTGCCATTCCATAGCACCACCGGCTGTAAAAAAATAATAAAATTATGGTAGAAGTGGTTTTATTGACACAAGAATAACTTTTTCAAGTTGTAGACTACTTGTAAACAAAATACCTGAAATGATGTTTTCACTAATTGTTAGAAATTATTGTTTCCTTCATTTCAGAAAATTCTCCAATGGTGGAAAAAGAACATTTTTCCTTGTTAATACTGTAGCTTTGGCTGAACAACAGAAGAACTTTATACAAAGACATGCATGTGTGTCTGTTGGCCACTATACTGGCGACATGAATGTTGATTATTGGGCTGAAGAAAAGTGGAGGGAGGAATTAGACAAAAATCAGGTGAGATTGAGAGTTGACATTGATCTTAACAATATGAACACACAAGGTATCAAATTGAAACTAATCATTAAAAACTTTAAAACGATATCAGTTGTTCAATAGAAACCCTTATACGTTCAGAAAATTCATTGCTAAATGGTATGAAACAAATTCAGTTTTTAAAAGATTTTTGTGATATCATGGACCATGTTACACTGGATTTACATTATGAGAAGTTGCTCAGTTTTTCAGACTGAAGGCATTTTGTTATTATGTGTATCATTATTCTAAACTATCAAGGACAAGAGCGGAACTATCAAAAAATTTGATGTTTGTGTTGTAAGGTATTGTATTATCATTAATAATTTCGAAATTATGTAATAAAAGTAAAAAAAAATCTCATTTAAAACTGAAATGTGTTATTACAAAAAGTTAAAGTATAAACAGATTTTTATACATTTTTAACAGTATTTTATTAATATAAAAGGCTTTGTGAGTACTATATTCAATTTTTAAAATTTCTGATGCTTGTGACTAGGGAATTGTGGTGTATTTGCCTAATTTTTCTGTTATATAATAGTACTCGTTCGTTAATCATTTGCAGACGGTAGGAACTACTGTTGTTTTGAAAGTGAGGGACCAAACCCGTATCCGAGAATACACGAATAGTGCCCTTGTCTAACAGTATCTACCAATGCTAACACCAGCTGAAATAGTTTGGGCAAAAAGGCTTATTTTGTTTTTGTTGTTTCTGTGATGTCTGCGAAAAAATCCAATCCACTTCAGTATGCCAGAGTGTGTTCTGGCAGTAAATGAATTGTAATGTTATGCACTATTTCTGCGAGGAAAAGAAAAAGGAGGTATTAGTACAATTAGAAAGACCTATGGACATAGCTGTGGTACAATCCTCTTGTCTTAAACAATCCACACTATTCACAAAAAGCACGGAAAATATTTTTATTTCTCCTTTGCATATATTTATTACACCATAGTTATGTTCTTGCCCACTTCTGCTCTGCCATACCCTGCAATGAGCATTCCGCTCACCACCATTATAGAATATCTAATCAATCAGTATCTTCTGTAGATAAGCAATTCTCATTCCATCGGCGGTGACCAAACGTAACCATCTCTGTCTGCAAATATAATGTGAAAGATGAATATGTCACAAAGCTTCTTTGTTTGTATTATTAAATCAATTCCATAATTGGCAACTTAAAGAGATTCAAGGTGTAGACTTGCATGCTGTTTTTCCATTAAGTGACTTCCTATTACGTTACCAATGATTTTTCTATATTATTGAGGCTGCTCTATGGAGCAATTTATATGAAATAGATGTTCTTTGCTTTAGAGAACATTGGTTATTTTGTAATGAATGTAACATTTTTTAAATTTCTAACTTAAGTCTTGCAGGCTATTATTGTAGAGAAAGGGAATCTTCTAAGTGTCCTGTATGCAGTTGTTCTTGTATTTATTAGAAATAATATCAATCCTATCTCCTCGATGGAATTAAATGAGTATTCAGTTAAAAATATTTTTGATTCTATTGCACATGATCATATGCTAAACATTATCTTACTTTCCATCTACAGGCCTCCAACAAAGCAAGCTGTAGATTACATGTTCTTAGAAAAACTAGAGATATCTCTAAAGCAAGTTAGCAATCACACTTATGAATTCATTGTTGTATGCAGAGAATTTTACATTGATTTTCTGACCAAATCTTGTGAGATAGAGCAGTTCCTTAATTTAATTAATTCCTTCAGTTTAGATATTAAAATAAATGTCATGGAACTACACTTAATTACACTGATCATACTACACAGAAGACAGTTGATCAAATAATAATTTACAAAACCACTCCTAGATATGAAATTGCTATAAAAAATTTAGAATACAGTGATCACGATGCACAAATTTTTACCATTACAGGCATGTAAACACTGACGCAATAAATAATACATGTATGAGTAGATATTTACTAAAAGTAAAAGAAAATTATTTACAGACTTCTTGCTGTATGAATCTTGGGACATGATTTTTAATTCTGATGATACGATAAATGTAATTAATTTTTTTCCAGCCTTCCATTTCACTTCAACTCATACATTACTCTTTAAAAAAGAATGTGAAACTTTTCATGGGAAAACAATTCTTGAATAATATGAGGAATTAGAACATCATGTAAAACTAATTCTTTATCTATCTAAGCATCGAAATGTATCTCATGATTTCCTCCTCAACTTCCTAAAATACAAAACTGTTAGGAAAGTCATAAAGCAGGCTTATATCATAAACACGTACAATCAGAATATTTTCAACTCAAATAAATAAAACAAAAGCAATGTGGAATATAGTAAAACATATGAGCATTTGAAAGATAACAATAAAGAAGTGAAGATCAAGCATCAGTGGCTAGACTCTTCAACAGTATTTTTGAGAATTGCTGCCAATCTCACTATGGGTCTGCAGCAACAAAGATGATGTTTCTTTCCAATACTTCGCCCTATGAAATTCTCAAAATAATCAGTAAAAGAAAAAATAATATTCAGCAGGTTTAGATGAGTTTCCTAATTGTTTGTTAAAGACTTGTGCTCCTGCAATTTTTTTAAAGGGAAAGATTGGTTTACTTTGGAAGAAGTTCAGAGTGCCATGATGACCATGAATGTGGGAAACTGCTTGACTTTGACGGTATCCCCTATAAGATGCTCAAAATTATTACAGAGCAATATCCGGATTGTTTGTTGTGTGTTCAAATGCCCTCTTAGGACTGGAATATTCTCTGTGTAGTGGAAGAATCAGAAACTCTCTGTGGGGGTAACAAGTCCATAAATTAGACTGCGTCTTTTAGACTGCTTTGCTTCTGGGGTTGCTGTGGGCAAGCTGCTTGTGGGTCTAATTGTAGCAAGACTCGAGAAACGCCTCGTGCAAGGGACAAACTTCTCGCTCAGACAATGGGGCTTCCGGAAGGGACATTGGTCAATGGAGTTCATCCTGAAAGTGGTCAGTGTTGCAGAGGCTGCCTAGCAAGGTGATGGGAAGAATAAAGGATTCTAGGTGCTAGTGGCCATAGATATAAGAAACACGTTCAACTCTGCCAAATTAATGGACGTCATTGAGACTTGTTGGCAAAAAGCCTCTTGATGCCTCTTGATGATGATCAAAGATCACCTTGATGAGGGAAGAGAAGTGCATAAGGACTTCTCAATTAAAGAAGATGTGGCTTATGGTGTGCCTCAAGGTTCTAGGCTGGGTCTGTTCTTACGGAGTGTTATGAACACTTTGACCATCAGACACTCAACTTATGGGCTATGTAGACATCACCCTCATATGTCTGACTGAGCAATGATATTGACTGTTGTGGGCTGACAAACTCTGTAAAGATTGTATGCAATTCAAGTGCTTTACTGTAGTCCATATAAGTACTGTCAACTAGAGATTTATCCTCCTTCAATTGAGTATATATTGAGAGTAATGTATGATGTCTATATTCTTTCCACGAATAAAACCAAACTTTCTAACAAAAATGTCAATTGTAATTGGTATCATCTGATTTGAAGATTGATACATTGTATGACAATTTTCACTCAGTTGGAAACTGCCCTTCAAATAAAGATTTATCAAATAGAACCTTCAACAATTGGGAGAAGACAAATTTACAATTTTTCAGCAAAATTGTAGGGATCCCGTCTGGATTCGCTTCTCTTTTAATGTCAAGCTTTTCAATGTTTTTAAATACAGTAGAACCCTGATTTAACATTTTTTCGCATTTTATGTTAATATCTGAAAGTCTTGATGATGCCTACATATAATAAATGCAGTTATATTTTCAACTTTACGACAGTAGATTTGACGCGCAACCTGGTTTAAATTTATTTATTTACTCAACAGGGTTATTAGCCCAAATAAAATTATACACTCTGTCTGAGGAGGAAACGTCGAAACTTCGCAAATAAGCTCTTATAACGATTTTAAGCATGTTTTGTTTAATAAACTATTGGGTATTCCGAATGGTTCTGAAAGAAAATTTAATTGAGAAATCAAAAGCAGTCAAAATGAGTAAATAGAGGGCATTTTTTGTTTGTGTGTTCATTTTTCTTTCTGAACAAATACATTCATTTCTTTTGTAAATAATAAACAATTGACATCTTTCTGAAGTGTTTCTATGCTTTTGCAATGCAAATTTTTGCATAGAAAGCATTTTTTCAAACCAACTTTTGAATGCTTATTGCTGCTCAATCATTCAGAATATCTCAATAGTTTATTAGACAAAACAAGCTTAAAATTGTCTTAAGAGCTTATTTGCGAAGTTTCAACGTTTCCTCTCTGGACATCCTGCATATTACTCATAGTTGACGTACATACAGAAGTTAACATAGTAAGAAATATTAAAATTAATAATATTAATAGTAACAAACAAGATTAAATTAATGAAGTTACAAATTAGTAATAAATAATTCTAACCAGCTAAAATCCAATTTACTTTGTTTTAAACGTCTTGCAAAACTTGCTTTACTCTTACCTAATTGTTCATTGCACAAATACTCATTTAAATATCTTGTTAAAAGAGGTATTGATGAATAGTTGTAATTTTATGTTTTGCAAAACATTTCTATAAATAAAACGTTCCTTCTTGTACTAAATGGGATTATGGTAGTGAAAGAAAAAAATTCTTTATAATCATGGAAGAAATTGCCTTTTTGTTTTAAATCTTGAATGATGTACATCTGAAAAATCTTATGTTGTACACTCTAAATTTTTTATTGCAAAATTCACGTTTTGAGATCTTACTACTTAGCAGTACATTAATTTTGGTTTCACTAATGCATTAAACAAATTCACTATGGTTAAAAATCATTTAAAGTATGATGTTTGTCTTTTTATAAAACCCAATAGTTTTAAAGACTCACAAACTATATAATTAACATCAAAACCTTCTTATTTAGT